CACCTTTAAATGGAGGTTAATACAATAACAATTCAAACATTATCAGCCAAGTTTTAAAAACATCCGAGTAATTTAAAAAAAATCAAAACAAAAAACCAATACATAATAACTAATTTTTATCATATTATTGAATGAATAATATATTCTTTGTTTAAGCAAATACTCAACGGTTTGTATCCGATTATCTCAACTAATATTGGATTCAAATTTAGTATTCAGTTTTCATAGATTTTAATTTCTTAGTCTATTTGTTGGTTTTTGAAGCCTTAATTTTCTTCATTATGTCCACGTTAATAAGTTCATAATACTTTCTATGAAACTTATCATCTAAATGAATTTTTGTTCCCCATAACTAGATTTTGAGTTTTTTAAATAAAAAAGTTGATTTCTTGTTTTATAATAAAACTATAGTAAAATGGGTAGTAAGAAACAATTTAACATATTGGACTGATCTTAGACCAGTTCGACACTATCAAGTTCTTCATACGGTTAACATATTGTAAAGTGAAAAAGGAAACCAAGAGATGACTTATCATATTGTAAAGTTCTTCATATGCAATGAAGGGATTTGAATTAGTACAAGTGTCTCATTTGTAACTACTAAACTAATTGTGGTTGTCGGTTGTGAGGCCCCATCAAAAGGAAGTAAGTTTGATAACGTGGTGCCCATACCATGACATTGTTATAAAGTTAATGGATAAAATGAAAGATATATAGAAAGAATTCGTAAAGATGACTCTCCACAATATTTAGTGATTGCTTTATTGAATCTAATAGAGACATTCGCACATGCCCTATGCCAAACTACACTTCCTTTTTTCTTCAATCTTTCATTTTTCCTTCGTTTTTCAAAATCCCATAACAAAAAAAAGAAATATTAATTTGTTAAAGGTGTTCTTTTTCTTGAATAAAATTTAAACTCGTTTGCTAGAGTCATTGATGTAGAGCTGGAAGAATTTTTTTCCCCATTCTTTCACATCTAACAACAATAGTTTGTTCTGCCATATAAAAACCGTGAAGTAAATGCTTATGATTGGTTAAAAAATAATCGAGTAAAAAAAATATTTTAAATTACAGGTGCGGTGTTAAAATTTGAAATCCCAGTTTTAAGATCAAATAAATTTAAACTATGAATTTTACTAAGAAAAAAAACTTTATAAAAGAAACTGCAAGTCAAAAACTGTTGATGAGTTGTAAAGTCTAATCGGCTATGTGATCTGAGACATTAAGACATCACGCTTACTCCCATGGATTTATAAAAATCTTTAACTAAATATGTTACCTAATTTCATATATATATATATATATATATATATTTTATGTATACATTCGGTTGTCTTATGTTCTTTTCTTATTTATAGATTTCATCGTTATAGCTAGAGCGGGAAGGAGATATTTTGTAAGAACTCTGAATTTGATTATAGCTAGTGAAATCCATAAAGGAAGAAAGGGGAAGTGTTTCTCATAATTTCTTGCTTAAAATCGTGATAGTTCGAATTTCTGATCAAAATGACAAAATCCTAACAAAAACTTATGCTGATTAACAAAAATTATTTATGTAAATCGATGAAATTTATCGAATAAAAATAGCTTAGTATACACTTTCTTAAGTTTTATTCTCCTAATGATGACTCCTCCCCTCTTCCCAACCCAACCCAATAGGGTGTGTTCCCTCCATACCACTATCTAATATCATTTACTAAAATATGGTTTTCTATGAATAGGCATATAGTCACATGACTCACATCCATTATTTGTAGTTTTGTACCATCGTTTTCATTAGGTTGGGCTGTGTAGACCTCCTTTGCAAAGTTATTACACTCTTTTTGTTAAAAGTGTATAACGCTGTTTTCATTGAATATATATCATTATCTTTAGGGAAATTACTTATAATGTACCAAAACTATCATTTTATTACTAGAATAACCTCTTTCTATTTTTGAGAAGCAAAACACCTAGGAGATTACGTGTAACCCTTATTTTAGAAATTTAATTACAATCTATGTCATTCCAAAATTAATTTGTTTCTCCCAAAAAAAAAACTTTTTACATTCTTTTCAGATTTTTACATTTACTTTTGGGATAACATTTTCATAATTTTACATTTACTTTTCACTTTCTCTTCCCTCGACACTCTCTTTCTTTCTGTCGGTCGAAGTTCCAGTTATAGGGTTTTTATTTCCGCCGAAGCCGATTTTCCATAGTTTCCGGGAGATTTGCGAGTAGTCCTAGGGCATTTTGGGCTCGTTTCGGCGATTATCTCTCCTGGTCCATTGTTGTGGTCGTTTTTTGGTTTGTGGTTTCTACGATATTTTCGTGTTATGCCGGTTTCCTGTTCTCCACTTCTCTGGGTAAAGGAAAGGTTTGTAATTTCCCTTTTTTGTTTGCTTTAGTGTTCTTCTCACTTATTCGTTTACTCGTCATTTGTAAACTTGTTGAAAGTGATTTCATCTGGTCGGCGAAGACTGTTCACAATGTGCTCACACGTCAGTTGGGCACAGAAAAAAATCATGAGACATGGTGTTTGGTTGATGATCAACCAATAAGGTTTTCACTGTGTGAATTTGCTGCTATATCGGAGATGAACTCAGCGCCGTATGAGGAATTGGGTTCATGGGATGGTGATCATAAGAAACTATGGGAGGACATGAAGATTTCTCTGACATATGGATCAAGCTGGGACGAGCTGAAAGTTGTCTTACGCCGATATAGGACTTGGACATATGAGAAGTGTAGAATGGTAGGCTGTTTATGTGTACTTGCTGTTGGCGTGCTTGGGCTGCATCACTCGTCAAAAATTCCTCTAAAGTTTGCGAAAAGAGTACTTGATGTTGAGGCATTTGAGGAGTTTCCATGGGGCATAGCCACTTGTGAGAGTTTGATTGAGTTTGTTAAATTAGCGGACTATAACTCAAAATCTTATACCATTGGTGGTTTTGTCCCCATTCTCCAAATATTGGTTTATGAGGCCATAAGCATTGTCAGTGAAAGGTTTGGGGATAAGATTGGCGGTGTAGAAGTTCCCCTTCTGGCGTGGGGTGGTTCGCGTAAGCGTTTTGACTTTGATGATCTTGTTCTTGAAGATAAGAGCAACCACGAAAAGGTAGATATTTAAGTTCTTTAAATATCTGCATTAATTGATGGTTGTTTATCGTGTAGACTTGTTAAGATTTGTATGTGTTTGTGTAGGTATGGGTTAGACATATTATGGTTAACAATGATGAGGACCCCAAACCACTGTGGACTGATGACAGTAAGGATGTTAGAGTGGACAAACTGCTTGAAGATATCCTCCATGATCGTCTCGACAGAAACGCTTGGAAGGTAGATGCAAAAAAGATGAGGAGAGGCAAAGAACCGGTGGAAGAAAGTGATGATGACTCAGCCCTGTTTTTTATTGCCAATATAAAGCACGTGCTGCTTCTCTGCCGCAGTTAACAATTTGGGGCTAATCGATTTTTAGGGTTTGCTTCTTTGCCGTTTTCCGACTTCACTAAATCAGAAACTGACGACTGTCCTTCGACAATGCCGATCAGCTACATAGAGAGCTCATCAACCAAAGCGACTTGTCACGGTATCTATGCTCGCCCGGAAGCTAATTTTGGAATACCGGTTTGGTGTTTTTGTGGTCTTCCTTTTCTCCTGGAAGAATCAACTGCTACAACGACGCTTGGAAAAATGTACTATGCTTGTCTGATGGTTGAAGGGGAGGTACGTTATTCCACAGTTTGCTATAGTCTTTCAACATTATATTTCTAAAATTAATGGCGGCACATCGTTTTAGTGACAATATACATTTCTTTCTAGGAGAGTGTTGATGATGAACACATATTCAAATGGTGGGATGAAGGAGTTACAGAGAAACTAACGATCTTAGGATTGTGCTTTCAAGAACAAACCAAGAGGATACGTAGCTTGAACCTGGTTGAGCTTCGCCATGGTTAAGATCCTCGTATGGAGGGTCGTATGGATATAATGTGGATGATAATGGAGGGCAACGGTGACGACATTTCTGACATCAAACTCCTTTTACTCGAGTGTCAGGTAGAAATTTATCGGTTGAATCAGCCTTTGGCGAACCAAGGTTCAGATGTCGTTCTTCTTGCCTTGTTCGTTGTGTTTGCTGCAATAACATTTCTGTATAAGTAACGCCTACTCTTGTATGGCGAAGAACCTCTCTACATACTCTAATCTTGTTGTTAACTTAACGGCTGCATTGAATCTCAGGCTGCGTATGTACGTTGCATTTATGTAGACTTTTTAATTATATGAGTAGACTTATTATCGGCTTTGACGTAGACTTATTGTAGTACTTTCCGTATTCCCTTTCAGTTATCGTAGACTTAAGGTATTCTTAAAAGAATGAAAATATTTATTCACTGCCATGTATCAGCAGACTTTTATCTGTCAGTAAGCAGACTTTTTGGAGTATTTACCTTATTTCAATTATCATAGACTTATGGTGTTCAAAGACTTATAATTATATGCATAGACTTAATCATACTTCTCATAGTATTATAGATTATGGTAGACTTAATTCAATTTTGAGCGCAGACATATTACCTATGTAGACATATTATAATGTAGACATATTACATTTATAGACATATTATATTTGTCTACGATGCGACGCAATAAATCAGAAAACAAAAAAGAAAATATGTTTGAGAAACAAGAGCACCTCTGTAACTCGACAACTTCACGAAGAGCAAGTCCTCGAATTATGGTCTGTTTGGCCACATTTTGAGCATGTAGGAACTTTTCTGGGAACTTTTTTCGTCATTGCAATTTTCGTTGCTGATTTAAACCTGCATTTCTTTGGTCTTCCTGGAGGTTGGCGTATCTGCGGAGTTAGACATACTTTCGCTTCTACCTCTGCGAGAACGGGTGACTGTCTATCTCTGGGGCTGATGGATGCAGCATATGCATTACAAAAATAGCCGAATGGTTGAAACTCTTTTTGCGTCTGCGGCCGCAATTGCGTGTGCACAAGGTATTTTTTACAAGTCCAACATACGACATGTACATTTCTTTTGCGTCAAATTGACGACATTAACGTATCCTCCAACACCAACTTCAAATTGGTGGGCGTCAATCTCTTGTATTGTTAGATCCTTACACCTTTCCACTTGACCCTGTGCAAAAGGTTCAATGTGATAAATCATATATTGATCAACAGAAGTAAGAAGACAACGACATTGTGATGAGAAATTTACCGCAAGCAACTTTTCAATGCCCTGTGTTAAAACGGTTTTCATTACTCCTGCATCATTATGCCGTTCTGCAAACCATCGATTCAACATTGACCTTATTGCATCTATAAGCTGCATAACTGGCAAGCTCCTAGCCTCAGAAAGTACTTTTTTGATCGACTCAGCTATGTTTGTTGTCGTGAAGTTGTACCTATCTCCTTGAAAATAAACTCGTGCCCAGCATTGTACACCAGCCTTTTGCAAATATGCGTGAAGACCAGGATTCACTCGACCGATCACTTCAAAAATGGCGTTAAATTCATAGACTCGATAAGCCTTTGCTGCTTTTTTAACAAGCTTGAAAGATTCACCACCTCTAAACCGTTGGAGAATATTCTTGTAAAGATGGTAGGTGAAAATTTCGCGAGTTGCTAGAGGGTACACCTTTCTTATAGCGTTTCCAATTGCTATATGCATATCCGAGATTATGGCAAGTCCTCTGTCATCAGATATGACATAGTTTAACTGTTTAAAGAACCACTCCTAAGATTCATCATTTTCTGAATCTACAACGCCGAAAGTAATTGGAAATATACCAAAGTCCCATCCTGTGCAGTTGCTAGCAAGAGAGTACCCTTGTATTTTCCTTGCAAATGTGTTCCATCAACAACAATGACTTTCCTCATGTACTGAAACCCACTAATACTTGCACCAAAAACTATAAACATGTACTTAAACCTGTAGTTCTCGTCAACTTGAACCCTTGTATGTACTCTCCGGGTTAGCTTGCCAAATCTAGTAAAGATATGTCAGAAGCTCTTCATATGTACTCTCCGGGTTCGCCAAACCAAGTCTCGTGTATGTCTCAAAGCACGATGAGCCTTCCAGTACTCGATCTTCCTTGTAAACATGACATATATAAGGCATCCTTAGACGACTATCACAGATCACAGTAAGTCAGCTGAGAAGTAATCGACGCGAATACCTTTAGTCGGAATCATTTCTGTAAAGCATAAGAGACATGACTCGGCAATACGGTTGGTCCCACACCACCTACAAAATCCTTATACAGAACATCTAGAATTTGGTGAGTAGCATGTCGTGTACGTTTAGACCGCTCAGTTACCGAACATGTATGATCTCCAACATAGATCCGAATATAAAAGCTTTTGCTTTCTCCAATCGTTGATGCTCTTAGCCTCCAAAAACAATTCTCCACCCAACATTTCACCGTATACAACTTTGGTGTTGATTTGTCCCCATCAAAATCAAAATGATGTATAACAGACAGAATCTTGAGCCTTGTCTCCAATGCCTCTTTGTTTTCGTATCTATGTCCAACAGCAACATTCAATGCAGACATTTCAACTAACTGATACTCATCTGGTATATTCGATTTCTTCTCTGTAGCTTTGCTTATAGCCGTTGGACTTTGCTTCTCTTTTTTTTCCTTTCTTGTGGTCTTTCCAAAAACAGAGTAATCATCATCCCCCTCTGAAGCTCCATCAGAGTCGTCGCAGCAGTCAAATATATCTCGTTCGTCATCATCGTCTTCTTCATCGTCACCTTCTGCATCTTCTTCACATTTCGTTCGTTGTTAACCCTCATTGCTGTCAACCTTCGTTCTTTTTTTAACTGTCACACATAAGCGAACAACAGTTTCCTTGCACTGATCCAAATACTATTGGGAATTTCTACAGTTTCCGACAACTACGCATGGAGTATCTTGTGGTAAGTGCAACAAAACCTTCTTCGGAAGAATGTAACTCAACTCAATCTCTTTGTAGCTTTTGTCAAACCCGAAATCTTCATACACCATGGAAACAAAATCTGTAAATGTCATTCCACGCTCTGCAAGAATAACTCAACTTCCCCTTTTAAAATCGACAAAAAACAACCATCGGTTCTTCTGGTAACTCCAATCTCCACAAACGAGGATTAATTGCTGCATCGCGAGGAGAACGGGATTCTACAACAACATCAACAAAAACTATGCAGAAAATGGTTTAGCTCTGTCCAACTGGCTGTCATAATTAGGGTCATAAAGAACGCGCAAATCCCCAACTACCAACTACGACATTTAAATATGTTGTAAACAAATCTACGCAAAGTCCTAAAAAATCAGTAACTCTGCACCCAATGTGAATATATCAGCGTAATAAGTCTGCTTTGAAGTGATTACGTCAAACAAGTCTACTGGCAACACAAGTCTACTACACCCAGATAACAAAATCTGCTTAGCCTACACCCAAATAACAATAAATCTGCTATACTATTCTACTTTGAAGTAATGAACTTCAATCAAGTCTACTTCAAACATAAATCTACCTAACCGTAGATCGTTAATTTGGAAAAGTCTGCACTACGTAACAATAAGTTTGCTATTTAAGTCTACCCACTCGTATATACACAACTACAAGTCTACCAAAATATCAAGTCAACCCCTACGTAAACTCCTAAAAATCAGTAACTCTGCATCCAATATGAATATGTCAGTGTAATAAGTCTGCGTTGAAGTGATTACTTCAAGCAAGTCAACTGTCATCACACGTCTACTACACCCAGATAACAATAATTCTACTTTATTAGTCTACCTTGAAGAATGAACTTCAATCAATTCTACTTCAAACATAAGTCTACCTAATCGTAGATCGTTAATTCAGATAAGTCTGCACGATGTAACAATACGTCTGCAAATTAAGTCTACTCACTCGTATATACACAACTACAAGTCTACCAAAATATCAAGTTAACCCCTTTGCAAACTCCTAAAAATCAGTATCTCTGAACCCAATGTGAATATGTCAGCGTAATAAGTCTGCGTTGAAGTGATTACGTCAAACAAGTCAACTGTCAACACAAGTCTACTTCACCCAGATAATAAAATCTGCTTAGTCTACACTGTCAAAACAATAAGTCTGCTATATTAGTCTACTTTGAAGTAATGAACTTCAATCAAGTCTACTTCATGCATAAGTCTACCTAACCGTAGATCGTTGATGGGGTTGGTGTGTCGGTCAACTACGTGAGGGAACAAGTTTTACCCTTAACAAAACAAAAGAAAGCCGCAAGTGCACAGCTAATCTGTTGTAGTATTTAGGGATCGAATCCACAGAGATTTGTGTGCCTGGTATTCTTCTACGGTTTTTAACTTTATGTCTAGACTAAATTGGTTTTAAAGGTTGGTTGTTTTTCTTGAATTAAACTAAAGGAAAATAAAGCAAATAAATCTATCCTAAAAGGCAAGTAAAAAAATCGAATGAAAGGCAGTAGAACAAGTAAAATATCGAACTAAACAAAGATAAGGCAAGTAAAATATCGCATGAAAGGTAAATAAAGCAAGTAAATAATGAACTAAGGAAATTAAAATGCAGGTCTAAAAGAGCAAGTAAAAATCGATGGAAATTGTAAACTATGGCTAAAAACGCTGAGCTTTTGGGAACTCTAAGGGATCATAATCGGTTTTAACATTAAGGTAGATAGATTGGGATTGATGGATAACAATATATGGGTTCTAGAGCTAGAGTACGGCGGTATGACTACGTCACTGTCGTGATCATAACCAACTGTTTCTCGCAACCCTGACCAGTAGGTTTCCACTCTGGCCCTGGAAGGGAGAGAACGCAAGAGCTGCATAAGACTCGTCAATACTCACGATCTCGCCGCAGGTAGGTTTCCACTCCTACGGAAAAATCGCCTGTTTCATTCTAGGGCTGATACTTAATGAAAACTTTCGCAACACTAACTATCTAGATCAGATACTAGGTGATCAATCAAGCATACATGCAATAAGAACAAGAATAAACAGAGAACAAGTCGAAATCCCAGATCTATAAACCTAGATGTCTTAATCGATTATGAGAGCCCTTTTCGGGAATCCTAAGCCCAACTCGGGATCTACTCAGACATGGCTGAGTTCGACATCATCATTGGTTTTAATAAAAGTAATGAAAAACAGTAAAGAAAAGAGATAAAGAAAGCTTCTCTATTGAAGAACTCGGACTTGAACAATCTTCTACAAAAATCTCATAAAAACGGCTAAAGGAAAAGGGTTTCTGTAAAGTATCAAAAAGCTCTCCTAAAAACGACCTAAATGACATGTATTTATAGTCTCCAATACTCCATGGTCTCTAGGGTTCCGGAATTGAGACTGGGAATGACTTTGGGCTTCAGATAAGTGGGCTTTAAGTCGGAGCTTGAATGCCGCGGTCGAGAGTGCTGTGACCGCGGCAATTGACTTGTTTCCCGCGGTCGGGAAGCTTCTGACCGCGGCAAATAGCTTGTTGGCCGCGGTCGCGTGAACTGCTGGCTGACTCCGCGTGGCTTCGGGGCTAATGGAATATCTTGAGATCCAACCGTTGGAATGTCTCCAAACCAAGTGCATTTGAAAGTTGGTTGATTCTTCTATAAGTTGTCCAATTTTGAGGGTGATCAGACGGTGAGAAGGTCTTCGTCTCTCCATGAGAGTTCTGACGGTCTGCATTTATCCAAAATAGTCTTTTTGTTCCATTTTATGCCTCTTTATCCCAAATTACCTGAAAAGTCTTTTAAAATCCGGAAACATAGAAATCCATTGAAAACCTTTGAAAATGGAGTAAAAACACCTGTAAAAGATATTAAAATTATCCATAAAAATGGTCAAAATCCGGTGTTATCAACTCCCCCAGACTTAGTCTTTTGTTTGTCCTCAAACAAAACAAAGGCTAAATCTCGGCGAGAGGTTTGAAAATGCAGGAACTAAACAAAATCTCAGAGACCAAACTTCTAGACCAATATCAATCAGTATGCATCAATCGGGAATAGCCTAGAAAATTCTCACTAGCAATACAGGCATAACTAGTCCGCTAATCCGTCATGTAGAAATCTATGCACTAAGATCTAACTTCCAGTCAACTAGCTCTTAACATTCATTAAAAATCTCGGTGGTTCTCATCAAAGAAAATCTAGACAAGGCAATCTAGGCTAGGTTTAAAGAATGATTATTTTGGGGGTATGGCTTAAAGTGTTTAAGGGTTACCTGAAGATCTGGAGGGTGCAGGACATTATGCAAAACCGCAAGAGAGAGTGAAGCTGTTGGTATCCACAGTTTTCAGTCACTTTTTCTTGACATAGATTCATGGTCTTCTTCCTCAGGTTCTCTCCAAACTCCCCCAGACTTAGATTTTTGTAAACCTTTCAAAACAATAGCTCCTTAAACGAATAGTGGTTGCTCATTGCTCCATAAATTTTGACAATCTAAGACTCATTAGGCTTTTTGTTTGCCTTTCTCTTTTCACGTTTTTTTTTTTTTTTTTTTTAGAGAAAAGGGAACACCTTTAGATATAGAGTCTTAGAGAGCACGAATTTACCAGTTAATATCTGTCTTGTAAAGCTTTATTATGTTTCTGATACTCTTCCTTCCCAATTCCATTCAGTCTCTTTTGCGAGTGACTGAAAACTGCGTCGCTCCTCTTCTCTTCGACGTTTTTGCACATATTTGCTGATATAAACTAAAGAGAGAATGCATGAGGATTGAAAACAAAGGTTTTGGGTTTAGGGTAAGGTACCAGATAAAGATAAACTGGTCATCTAGGACGACAAAGAGTGGTAAAAGTGATGGTAAAGGACGTCCTAGATGTGTATGTCGATGCCTGTCTAAAATCAATGATGAGAAAATTAGATATCAATATTAAGTCCAAATATAGTGAGCTAGTATATCCTGTCAGAAAGAATCTCCATGAATAGAAGT